TCCGCGGGGTCCTGGGGGTCCCCGCCCGCCTGTCCCGGAGCCCCAGCGGCGTCGGAGCCGCGTGACCCGCCGGTGCTCTACGACGAGGCGGCTTTCCCGGAAGAACAGGCGATGGAGCCGGGCCCCTCGTCTCCGGTTAGTACCTCCCTGTGCCGCCGTCCTGTGTGGGGGGCACCGACTGTCTCTGCGCGGCTGCCAGGGCACCCTAGCGGCGACGGGAGGGAGAGGACGCGGTCCCCTGAGAGTGGAGCCCACGAGCGCGGACAGCCACGCCCCGTGGCCAAGCGCTGAGGGCCACGCCGTTCCGTTTCTCCCCCGCAGCTCTTTCCCGGCGACGTGCTGGCCCTGCTGGAGACCTGGACGCCCCACTCGCCCCTGGACTGGCCACCGGCCTGAGTAGTTGAAGTGACGACGGACAACTGGGGCCTTGTTGGAGCACTGAGGCCTTTCTGGCCTCAGTACCCTCGAAGCGGCTCCTCTCCAGACTCCCAGTCCTGGCCCTGGGCACCGGCGATGCTGGCATGGGCATTCTTGAGGGTGAGAGCCTGTCCCAACCAGGACGCACCTCCCCGATGGAGGGTCCCATAGAGTAGACACTTTTAGGCAGGCAGGAGGCTCTGCTTAGTGTGTATTTATTTATTTGTGAATAAACTGTGCTGGTGTCAATTGGCAATTATTTCTTTCTCTAATATGGACACAAAGGTCCCTCCCTTTCCTCCAGAGAAGAACATAGTAGAGTTGAGAGGGTTTCTTGGAATCTTCAGAGCACACAGGCCCAGAACCCTTCCTCCTTGCCTGGTGGCTTAGCACCTCCTGTTCCAGATGGGTGGGCCTGGAAGTGGGGAGACACTTCATATGGGAAAGTGGCAGAAAATGGAGTCTTTTATTGAACTTGGTGGGTTGCTAGAGAAAACCAAAGTATCTCTGGAAAATACATTTTTTAGTGAAAACGTATTGTTCTTAGTGTGTCAGATCTTTTACACATCTTATACCCAAATTATTTTACAGAAGGCTAAAGCAAGGATTAGCACTTTGGTGTGCGTAGGATTTCGTTAGTGCCATTCATTCTGGGGCCGTTTCACATGTCCCAAGTCCTTATTCCCCTTGTTCTAGAGTATCCTGGCCAGGACTCTGAGATTTTCCCATCTCCCTTCACTCAGGTTTCCTTCTCATGTGGTTTAGGGATGTAAAATAACATCAGTGGGCCAGTCCTGAGTTTATGTAACTGGACCTCCCAGAAGCCTAGGTGAGACAAGGGGCCCATCTGGTTGCATCCAAGTCCACACAGCTGACCAGGCCAGGCAGCCACACCTATCTGCATTGGCTGGATTCAGATTAGGGAAGCGTTGTATGGGGAGAGGGGAACCTTGAGCTTGGATGGAGCTTGGCTTGAGTCGGAGTCGGATGAGCAGTCAAGCCTGGGCGTGCAAGGTGGGCAAGGGGATGTTTCTTTTAATTGACCAGTAGTGGTCCATTGTATGTATAGACCACAGTTTATCCATTCACACCTCAGGGCTCCAGCCTTGGCCAAGAGGGGCAGTAATTCAGAGTGGGGTGGGGGTCACTACCCTGTGCGTCAGGCCCAACCTGGCCACATTCGGCTGCAGAGAGTGGGTTACCAAAGCAAAGGCCCTGCAGTGTGGGCGGGACCTCACACGCCCACAACCACCCCACTCCCACTGAGCACCTCCACCCCATCTCACCACCCCTCCCAGAACCCTAAGAGGAGTAGATGGGACATCTTCCCCAGGAACCTACCAGGTTTAGAAGATCTATTTGCATGGCAAAGGCCCCACGGTTTAGGATGGGGAATTAAAGTTATTAGCAAGTCTTTTCACAGATAAGTGGGGCTCGTTGGCCAGCCCCTCCCCTGTGGAGGCCCTCTCCTCCCCCTCACAGTCAGTCGCTGTCCCGCCGTTTATTAGCACCTGGGTGTGATTTTCATTAACAGGTTCCTGCTAATAAGACCAAGGATTGGAGCTGGGAAGGGTGGCCTCCCAGCGTTCCCCAGCCCCACCCTTCCTGGGCCAGCCCCACTGCACCCGGTGGAAGCTCTGAGTGCCCGTTCAGAGGGACAGGACAGGACGCCAGCGTCCAGGTAGGTGAGCCGTGGGCGCATGCTCGCTCTCAGTTCTCAGCTAACCTGGGGTAAGCTCCAGCTGATGCGGCCATCGTAAGGATGGGAGAGTGAAGTGAAGCGGCTCACTGGTATCCTGCCGGCACAGATGTTCAGTGGCATTGGGATCCAGATGTGACTCCAGAGCCTGTGTGCTCACCCATGGGTGCACTGCTCCTGTGACAGATAAATACCAGCCTGTCTCAAGGACAGAGGGTAGTGGCTGGTGTTTCACCTCACCTGAGGACCTGGAAGGGTGCCCTGGTCCAGAGCCATCTGCGCACACGCTTGCTTGAAGGTGGGAGTAAGTGAGTGATGCTGTCAGCACAGGGCACAGCTCGCACTGTGGTCACCGCCGGTCAGCCATGCAGCCCTCCTTTCCCTCAGAGATGCTTGCACAGCCTGAGTCATCAGTACTCACATGACAGGGAAAAAGACATTTATAGAGCAGTGACCTTGGGCCAATCTCTGTGCTTAGGACTTTAAATTCATTTATTTTCAAGTCATTTTAGCCTTAGAGCTGCCGGGAGGCGGGTGTGTGCTGTTTTCCAGAGCAGGATGATGAAGGACAGAAAAAGGTCGAATTGTTCATGAAGCCAGTATGTGGCTATCGGAGTAGGGACGGCTGTGAGTGGTGGTTGACAGATCCGGTCTTTGGAACTGCCCTGGCAGGCATGCGTGCATGCAGCTCTCGTGTGACATAAAGCCTAGGGCACATAGGCAGGAAACATGCTTCTGCTTGTTGACCACACACGTTGCTCCTGCCGAGACAGCTGTGCTGTGCAGATGCTCATTCTGGATGGGCCAGCGTTGAGGAGGGGTAGCTAGGCCGGTCGTTCTGTACCCAAGACATGTACTCAGGGTCGTGTCAGGGTCACACTATGAACCCGGGATGGAGGAAAGAGAGTATCTTCGTCTAGGGGACATTTAGCTAGTCGGGACCAGCGCTGTGAGGAAGGTGTCATGCCAACAAGGAGCATGTGTATGACCCAGGGGAGGAGGTGGATGAGGACACACAAGAAGTTGCCATCAAAAACCTAGCATGCAGCGGGCCTCCCCAGGCAGTTTATCACGGGGGAGGCTAAGACACGTGAACCACCTGCAGTACTCAAAGGCACCACACGGTGTCCTAGGAAAACAGTGCCTGGGCCCTCCCGGGGTCTGGACTGGGAGGAGAGGGCAGTGAAGTTGTACACACCACAGCAGCTTTGCAGTGTAGAAACAATGTCTGTTTATTTTGAGTGAGGCATCTGTCTGCCTGAGGGCTCTGCCAAGCGGCACAGTGGTTGAAACCCCACAAAATAGCACCTTTCCCCTGACTGGCTCTTGGAGCTACCAGACTGCAAGTCCAGGCCCCTTGGACCTACTGAGCTGCAGCCCTTTGTCGCTGTGTCTCTTCACTTCAGGGCCTCTTGGGGAGAAGGCTGCCTGTGGCTGAAACCTCTTCGGAGAGCCCAGGGCCGCGGCCCAGTCACTTCCTGAAGTTCTCTCTCTGGAGAAGCAAGGAGTACCTGCGTAGCCGCGTCCAGTGCTCCTGCTCCTTTACCTTGTTCTCCAGCTTCTGAAACCTGCGGGGCACACGGATAGAGCTGAGAGGAACCTGCTTTGTGCCCTGTTCCCTACTTCCGCTCTCAAGTCCCTAGGGGTGATCTTGACACCCCGTGCTAATATTAGGGGCTCCAAATGACATGTCATCTCTGTGTCTTCAGGACTCAGGCTGGGGCACAGAAGGCACCTGACACACCTTTGCCGAATGACTCAGAGGTAGCACTCTAAGTGAGGAGGACAGTGAGGGACGGCACAGTGAGGTTAAGAAAGCGAGTCTGTCTGCATGGACCGACATTAAAAACGTCGGAATGCCAGCAGCTCCATCACTGAGCATTTCTTGAGCATCTGCTAAGTGACAGGCACTGGTGCAAGTGCTGGGACAACCTCAGTGACCAACCCTGCCCCTCCCTCTCCACAGTGTCATAAAGGTGACAAGTGAGAGAACACGCTTGCTTGAAGGTGGGAGTAAGTGAGTGATCTGTGACAGGGGGCATGTAAGTGCAACAGAGAGAAAATGCTGGAAGGAGGCAGCGGTGGGCCCTGCTGGGGGTGCGCCCAGAAGACAGAGCGTTTGTTTGCCGTTGGGTCTTTTAAAAAACAAGAGGATGTTTTCTCCGTTTAAATAACAAATGCATGTTCAATACAGAAAAATCAGAAGTCTAGGATCCACCCCTCACGCTGCATGCAGAGTTGGCCGCTGTGAGCAGGGTGCCTCTTTCTCTGAATCGGGCGGTAGGGCATGTGGGTGACCCTGGTGGTGCAGGCGAGAGGGCGGCCCTTTGGGACTGCAGTGCCCTGGGAAGCGGGGTTGTCCAGCAGGGAGAGGTGGCAGGAGAGCCTGCCTTGTGGAGGGAGCAGGTGGAAGCTGGGCAGGGCGGCCCGGGTGGGACCAGCTTGGCCGCAGTGCAGTTCCCGAGGTGGTGCTCTGGGCCGAGGAGGGAGTGAGGAGGATGCCGGGCTCATCCGAGGCTGGGCACTGACTGGCAGGGCCCCCCTGGGAAAGTCCCCTGTGGAGCCTGAGAGCCCCTCCCTCCACCACCAGCAGCAGAGGTTTCTCCTTCCCGTGACGGTGTAACACAGCGTGTGACTGCAGTCTGATGTTTGCAAGGGACAGATGAGGTTTGTGCGTACAACGTCCAGAAAGACGGGCCGTCCATTTGCAAAGGGGGAGGGGACATGGTGCACCTACAGTCCCTGCGGAAAGCCTTTGACTTCAGGTAGACTGACTAACTGCACGGCTGAGGCCTGTGCACCTCTAGATAATTTTCCAGGGAATTATCTCTCTGTTTCTCAAGAAGGGCAAAGGAAAGTTGGGATGGACCCACCATTCCCACCCTAGGGATAGTAATAAAGGGTCTCTGGACACCACCTCTTGCCCCACTTCTTCAGCCTCGCAGGAAATGTCGCCTGGTGTCCACACAGGGCCTGCCCAACCCCTCCCCAAGGGGGCCACGTACACTGTGGGCCCTAGGCCTGTTAGGTCACCCCAGGAGCCCGCCTGTGGCGGAAAGCTGGGTGGGTAGAACCTGCACCTTTCCTGGCCTTGTGTTCCACAGAGAATAAAGGGAGAGAGAGACAATTTCTGTCTCCTTCCTGCTGTCCCGAAATTTCTGTCTTGTCAAAAGTTTGTCGCAGCCGGAGATGGCACACACTGAGGCAGTGGAGCCAGATGGAAATGGTGCCCCAGAGGCCTGGGCCGCATGGGAGCAGACGCCAGGCTTGGGGCTGGCAGCAGGGGATGTGCCACACTTAGCACTAACTGGCCTCCTTTCAAAGCCCCGAAGCCCGGGCGCCATCCCACGCCGTCCTTACGAAAGTCTCGGCAGATTTTGCAAAAACAGTTTGGACAGAGTATTGCAAGTGCGAAACTTTGAGATTGCCACATGAGCCCATTGCCCTGAAGTTTCACTTAGATTTAGGGCCAGTGGAAACTTACAGACACACACTATAAAATATAGGAAAAAGTAGGATTGAAATCTTCAGTACGTACACAGATATGAGTGGTACACAACAAGAGTAAAATGTTAATGACAGAATTTAGGTTTTGGGTATGGGGGTGTTCACTGAAACTTTTTCAAAGCTGCCATGTGTTTGAAATGTTTCATAATAAAATGGAGTAGGCACGCCAGTTTGAAAGCCTTGGATATCAACCTCAGAGCAAGTAGAGCAGGAAAGCCTTCCCTAAATGATAGTGTTCCCCAGCTTATTGCTGGGACCCAATTCAGGAAATGGGTTGTCACCAGGGGTGTGATCGAAACACTGCGATGAGGTCCAAGCCAACATTCCTTCCAGCGGGGCCTGCCACAACCACACAGTACGTCCCCTCCCAGCTCCTGCTGGGTCCCTAAGTTCCCACTGCTTGGTCAGCCCCAAGCCCTGCCCTTGTCCCCCAGGGCCCCACCTGGTCTGCTCTGGTGACTCCAGCCCTCTGCTCTGCCAAAGGTTCCCTGGAAGGCAGCCTTCTCCACCCACCCAGTGCTCTGGGGCCTTACCGGGGAGGTGGGGGAAGGGTGACCTGAGAGCTAAGCTATGTTGACAGGAAGGAGAGACAGTTAGAAGGGAGGAGGTGGAAGAGGCTGGTGGAAGTCAGGGCAGAAAGGACTGGCTTTTCCTTCTTAGAGCAGGTAAAAAGTGAATGTGAAATGTGATCTTAACTTAGTAAAAACACCGAGGGAAAACGCCTGGACGGACACTAATATATTAGTGGTGTTGCTGCTGTTTCTGGTGACGGGATTATGGATTATTTAAGTTTCCTTTTTTGCATTGTCCTGTTCTCTAAGTTTCTACAAGTACACATATAACGTATGTCGGAAATAATGAACACGAGCGTTTACAATGGGGAGCAACTCTGTTAGGGTATTAGTCCTCCACTCGAGCCAGGTTTTTTTTTGAGTGCTAACCTCCACCGGCACCCCACCCCGTGGCGGAGGGTAGGAGTGTCGATTAGGGACTGAGGCTTCCTAAACTTGTCGGGCCCTCTGCTGCTTGGCAGGAGGTGAGCCCAGAGCTGGGCTGGTCGCCTGTGGCCTGTTCCCCCTGGGTAGCGTGGCCAGTTGGCTTCGGGTAAAGTGGGGTGGCTTGCCCTTTGCTAGGCCAGTAAAAGGAGGGATTTTGACAGAAAGGACAGAAATGGAAACAGGCTCATTAAACAAGGAGTTCTCGGGGCTTATACCAAACAAGAGCTTTTTTTGTATGTGGTAAAGTTACAAGTAGGGACAATACCCCAAAAACAATAATGCATACCTTATCACCCAAATATAACTACTATTACTATTCAGGTACACATTTCCAGTTTTCTCTCTTTTACTCAATATCAGGGTTATACTGTAAATATTATTTTGTGAATTCTCCCATATTTTTATTTTGGAAAATTTCAAATCTGTAGAAAAGTTGCAAGTAGTACGATGAAGGCTTCACCTAACGTTCACCCATTGCTAACATTTTCTCTCCCCCTCTTTCTCTCTGTCTCTCTCCATAAATATTTTTGTGGTTTTCACCCACTGTTAGCATTTTCTCTTTCTGGCTCTCTCTGTAAATGTTTTCCTGGATGCACTTGAAAGTAACTTGTAGACATTGTAATACTTTGCCCTTAACTCTTTCAGCTGCACCTCTAAGAACACGTCATCAAGCGTCAAAATAAACCTCCATGTGAGGAATAGCAAAGTGTTCTGGGTAGATCTTTCATCAGGGGAGGTGTCAGCTGTCCCCGTCTTCATTGTCCTCCTTCCCCAAGACCCACTGGCCATGTTCCTCTTCCACATAGCATGCTTCCCTCCGTCCTGAGACACTGAAAGCCACCCAGGCAACCCGGCACGGCCTGGCCGGAACTAAATGCAGCAGGTCAGCCGCAGTCACGACGGGAGGGGCAGTGGTGCGCCTTTGTGGTGGTGTTTAGAATTCTCCCCGGGCATGAAGTTGGACTAACGGAGAGAGGACCCATCGTAGGGGGAGGACCCATTCTCGTACCTCCCATTTACTGAGCCACCACCCTATGCCTAGCACTTCGTAGATATTATCTCACTGAATACCTGGAGAGGAACCTACATCCTCGAAGGCTCGCTCTGACCATCAAACCAGCGCCACGATTTCTCATCGCAGCCAACCCAGGGGCCCGGCGGGCCGGACCCAGCACTCTACCTCTTCTGCAGCAGGTTCTCGCATCTTTTCTCCAAGGGCAGCACGTGGGGGAAGGCCATGTCTTCCGTCAGGTCAACTTGAGAAACGTTGCAGTTCCTTAAGACGTTCTCCAGAAGTGGGTAGGCGTTGAAATGGAAATAGAAGACAGAATTTTGGCTGTCCTCGGTGTCGTCAGTGGGCTCCGTCTCATCTGGACGGTCTCCTAAGATGAAACGAGAGTGCTGTGTGCTGTGTGAGGATTACTTTCCCCGTGGCCTCTGTGGCCTGAGCGGGTCGGTGGGGACTGCTCTCTGCTGGTAAACGTTTGGTCACTGGGGCTGGGCTGTGAGGGGCTCACCCCATCACAGAGAAGGCCTGCCTGGCGTTTCATCTCAGTGCCTGGGGAGGACTTGGCCTGTGGCAGCGGGGGGACAAAGAGTGGGGAGCAGACTGGGCAGGGTCACCCTAGGCTTGGTGACAGGACTGAGAAGGAAATGGTCAGCGGCTGCCGGTCTGAGCAGCAGCCCTCATGGTCCCCCTTCCATACCTCGGAGCAGGAAACACGGGTGGTGTGAAGACACGACAAACACTGGCTTCCAGGGGAGCGCCAGGCGGCAGGGGCTGGGCGGGGCAAAGGCACAGACGATCTGACGCTTGGCCACGTCCCGGAGGTGCACGGAGCCGCCCCTGGAGAAGGTCAGCACCTGGGAAGCAGGATGACAATGAATGGGGACTTCTCTACTGTGCCAGTCACCCCAGTATGGACAAAGAGTCAGCTGGACATAAAAAAAAATGAAAACAACATACATGCTCTGGACCCTGTTCAGGGGAGTGGCAGGAGTGTGTGATTAATCATTTGGTGCCACCGGCCGCAGCAGGCCCTTGTCCAGGTGCTGTGTCTGGCCCCCCCTCCCCCAACCCCCACCCCTGCCCCAGCATCTCTGCCGCAGAGCTGGGCCAACACAGCTGGCCAGGAGACTCAGCTCCGCATTTGGGCGGATGCCCCTTCCTCCCCGCTCCTCGGGGGGTCCCCGCGCAGTCCATCAGCCCCTCCTCGCCTGAGGTCTAGACGGGGCTTGTCTCCTGCCCAGGCTCTTCCTCCCTGGAGAGGAACCTACAAAACTTGCTCTGATCTTCGAAGACCCTCCTGGACCCTGCGTCCTCCTCCAGCTGCCACGCCGTTTCCTTTCCCACACTCAGTGTGTGTCCGAAAGAGTCTGTCTTCAGTCTCTGCTCCTCCACCTCCCCGTTCCCATCTGTCGTCTGTCCCCCGCCATGGACACTGGTCTCCGTGAGGTGCTTGGTTTCTGTTCGGCTCAGGACACTGTGCTTCACCGCCTTCAGCCTCCTTTCTGAGCTCCCAAGGGGCGCTCTCCCGGTTTCCCCGAAGTGTCCCTCCCAGTCACCGCGTCGGCTCGTTTCCTTTGTCCTGTCACTGATGGTAGTACCCACAGGGAACCTCTTCCACTCACCACTTCTCTCTGACTGGGGGGACCCGCCGGTCCCCAGCTTTAAACACCTCTAACCGCTGCTGAGCACCGGGCTCCCCGAGAGCCTCCTCGGGAGGTCCTGCGGGCCCCTCGCCCTGGGCAGCACCACATGGGCAACCACTTGTTCCCACCGCGGGATCCGCCTCTGCCTCCCGTCCCGTGGCCTCGGCACAGGCAGCCCGGCCTGGTGGAGTCCGTCTCACGCCTCTCCCTCGCCGGCCTCCCGCTGCCCCAACTCCCCGTGGTGCTGCAGGCCGCATGGCGTCACCAGCCTCCTCCCGCTCCACACCCCACAGGCTCTGCCCCTGCAGCTGCATGACCTCCCTGTGGTCCTGGACACGCACTGTCCTCCTGCCTCCGTGGTGCTGCCTTCTTAGCTCCCGTGGCTCAGCTGTCCTGCCACCTCCAGAAGAGGTGTCCCTCCACCCACCAGCCTCTGCAGGTCGAGTTAGGTGACCTCGCTCTCCGGTCATGGGGGACTTTCTCTGTCCCTTCTGGGAGCCCCAGAGCTGATCCAGTGCCGAGCACGTGATCGGCCTTCCGCAGATATTTGTGAGAAACACGAACACATTCACGAAGAGGAATGAGCGGCATCGGGAACCTACCATGCCAGGCAAGGTTCGGACAGGGACCACTGCACAGATGGCTTCTTCAGGGTGCTTTACAGGCCTGTGGGAAACAAGACCCAAGGCATTCATCCTCGAAGAGTTCGAAAGTTTCGCTCTCCTCTCCTCGGCCTTTTCTTGGAGAAACTCTTGTACGTAAGCATCAGGAGGTTCGCTGTGGGCTGTTTGTAGGAGCGGAAGCTGGGAGCAGTGCAAACCAGCACTGGGGGGACAACGCCTGAGAAACTGATGCACACGGTGGGGCGCCGGGCGGCGAGGAAACTCAGCGTCGCGCCAAGAAAGTTACAGAATAAATAGCATGAGAAACAAGTGGGCAAAACCAAAGACTGCGACGCCATTTACACGTTTCCTCAGCATGCACAGCTGAGCAGTACTCTGCTTGGAGACACGGGCACGTGGATGAGGTTACTTCTTAAAGGAGAGCAGAGACATGAATTTAGGAAAACGACGTGGTGGATTGAAAAAAAAAAAAAAAATTGGCCATAATGTTTGCAGCGGCTCCCATCAAAAGGTGGAGTCTTTCCACTGTCTTTCCACTGCCTGAATGCAGGTGTGACCACGCGCCGTGCTTAGTCCAAGGTCACGCAAGCGAAGGCTTGGAAAGCATTCGGGCGCGCTGGCTGCCCTCACTTGTTGCTGGGGACCTTAGGCTACCAGGTGACAGCAGCGCCTGTGGGAGAGGCCAGAAGGAGGAGAACCAAGTGCCCTGGCCAGTAGCCTGCAATCTGCCAGATATGTGAGTGAGGCCATCTAGACCACCCGGCCCTTCGCTCGGGCTGCCGGCTGCTCCAGGCACGTGTGAGCATAAGCAAGACCCAGCAGAAGAACTGGCCAACTGAGCCCGGCCCACATGCTGACCTACAGAATCGGGCTAAACAATGACTGTTCTCTTAAGCCATTGAGGTGTGGGGTAGTTTGTTGTAGACAGTGAGAGATCATGAGCGAGGTGGTTACCTTTGAGGAGAAGCGGGAAGGATACGATCAGGGAGAAGGACACAGCCTCAACCGAATTAGAGCCGACCTACTTAAGCTCAGTCATGGTTCCATGGGAGTCTGTCTCCCTCTCCCCTCCCCTCCCCCATACGCATAGATCATTTGCATGCATAAAACACTTCACAGTTGAAAAAAGAGAGAGTTCTTGGGGAAACTGATAAAAGGCGAACCGGGTTATTTTGGCAAAAATGACCCTCTTGGCCGTGCGGGGGAGGTGAAGGCTGTCATTTGTGCCGGCATACGACTTTGTTAGAAGCACGCTGTATACCCACATCTAAAAGACACTGGGGGTCCTGCAAAGCTCATTGGGAGAGTGGTCGCTGTGAGGAAGGTGGACTCTGGCTGGCGAGGTGCTCAGCGTTTCGCCATTAACCAGCGTCATCTGTCTGGCAGATCACCTACCCATCCGGCCCTGGGGCCACTGACCTCTCAACAAGCACGCTGATGGTGGGCTCTTGGGTCCCTTTGGCTACCACCAGATGGAGAGAAGCGTCTGTGCACAGCACCACACACATGACTTGGGATTTCGGTGGACTCTCAGGATATACGTTCTGTCCTTCGAGGACTAAGAAGTATTTTAGGAAGATGATGCTTTGGCAGAAACGTCCCTCAGGGAGAGCGACGACCCCGAGAGGGAATCCTGGAATGGACAGGCATACAAGCGGATCAGCAAGGAGACAGAGGGATGCAGGCCTGGGCGCCAGGGCTGTGACCTGGGCAAAATCCCGGAGTGAGCGCCCCTTTCGGGGGGACCCCTGCTAAGCATGGAGAGGAGCTGGGGACGGGGCGAGTATCCAGGAAGAATTTCTCAGTATCCGGAAAAATGAAAAGCTATTGGGAAAGAAATTGTGAAGTCGCAATCATTCGTTTGCCCTTGAAATATCTTTCACTGTTACAGTGCTGCTGTGGGTGCGGTCGGTAAAATCCAGGAGGGCCTTCAGCCACGTTTATCCTAGCGGCACGTGGGGAGAATGTCTCCCTGTTTGACATAACCACTGAATTCTTCAGATGGAAAGAGCCCCGGCGAGGGAAGCACATCACCGACTTGACAGAAGCCCCCCTCGGGACAGCCAGCTCTGCTGTCCAATCACAAGCTCCCCAGTAAACAGGGCACCGTGTCTGGTCCTCCTCACCGACTCGCCTGTCACCAGGGAAGAAGGCCACCTTTACTCTCAAGTGAACCACACATCCAATTGTAAAATGACCAACCACTGTTTGATTTGTTGCTTTTTAAAAAAGTTTGGTGAAAGAGGGACACTCCCTTAGAGGCCGGCTGACGTGGGATAAACTGATACCTTCGCTTTTCTACACCTGCCAAGCTAGACCCAGGATCTCAGGGCCCCACCAAGGCGACTCCCCACCCAGAATAGTTGCTGGTCTCTTAGCTTCAATAGCAGGAAGGTTTCTAGACACTCCCTTAGAGGCCGGCTGACGTGGGATAAACCGATACCTTCGCTTTTCTACACCTGCCAAGCTGGACCCAGGATCTCAGGAAGGTTCCTGTCGTTGGGTGGGGTGGAAGGGCAAGAAGGAAGACTTGCTTGTTTTGAGGGCACGGGGACCAGGAGGACAAGGGCCGAGGCCGCTGTGATCTCACTTGCCATGCTGGAGGGTGATGGTGAAGGTGCTGGTCGGACTTCTGAGACCTGGCACAGGGCCAGGCACAGAGCGAGCACTCGCTAACTAACCAGGGTTATGTTCAGTAAATGTTGGTTGAATGAACGAATGAGCTGAAAGCAGAGGATCTAACGGAAGGCCCAGAACCTGCAGGAATTCAGAGCTTCCCAGAGTCTCAGTACCTGCAGATCCACCCAGGTGCCGGGCAGCGGTGGGGGCTCACCTTCGGCCATGTCCCACACCGTGAGCACGCCGTCCTCGCAGGCCAGCACCAGGTAGGAGGAGGAGTAGCTGAGCTGAGAGACGGCGATGGGCGCAGCACAGGGCCACACGCCCTCAGGGTCTAGTGAGGAACATACCGGTCACCAGGTGGCCTCCAGACCCCACACCTAGCCATCGCCTCCACTTGGCCAACCGGAGACCCAGACTAGTCTGCCTGTCTCGGACGCGGGCGGGAGCATCTGTTGGGACTCACCATCCCTCTGCTGTCTGTACAGTGCCATCTCTTTCCTCAGGAGAGTGTGACAAGTCACACTACCGTGACACTACAGCTGGCATTCAGTGAGCGCTGACTAGGCGCTAACACTGTGGTGAGCGCTTTACACGCATCGTTTTATTTAATTCCCGTGCGGATCCTATGAGGTGGGTCCTGTTAGCACCCTTTATTTCCAGATGAAGAGACTGAGGCTGAGAAATAAGTGACTTGCCCCAGAGCAGAAGTCGAGGTTAGAAGCCAGGGTGCCTGGGAAAGGGACGGAAGAAAAGCAATTCTTCCTTCGTGAATTTCTAAATGGCACTTTTGAAGTATAATTGTAAAGTATAATGTAAGCGTACCAGTTCAAGGACTTGGGACAAAGCGAACTTGCTCACGCAAGCTGCTTCCATGAATTTGTAAAAAGCAAGCCCATGACCACCCATGTTTCCTAAGTGCCTTTCAATTGCAAAGAGCTTTCACATACAAAATACTGGATTTTGCTGTTCACGGCAGATGCGTGCAGTAGAAAGCGACGGCGTAGTTAATTAGCTCTGTGTGTCAGATGAGACATCGGGGGGACTGGGGCATCAGGCGACTGCGGGTGGGGTGGGATCACACCACTGAGCCACCCACTTCTGCCTGCACAGATCTGGTCCCCTGAAGTGACACCGTGGTGTCAGTCGCAGGCTCCCAGCTAGGCTGAAGAAGGGCATGCTCTGAGGGCCCCGAGCTTGGGCAGCTCCCCCGTCAGCGGTGCAGTACCGACTTTATCCTTCAGGGTCCGGTTAAGTGAGTAGAGGAAGAAGTTGTGACATCCAGTCCAGTGGACGCCAAGGACACAGGCTACCCCTGGGAAAGAAGAGAGGAAAGGGGCGTCACGCGAGGAGTCTGGGTGGCTGTTGGTTGGTGTGGAAGGTATTTGCCCAAGAAGAAGTCGGTTTGAAATCAGAAGTGGTTCTAATAGGCAGCACCCAACAGAAGGGTGCGCTTCCTGGGGAGGAGGGGCTGGGCACCCTCAAGAAGGGCTGTTTCTAGGGCCAGCTTGCCTGCCTGGGCAGGGACAACGGTCACCTGACTTTGGCTGCTTTCACACCTTCTAGATCATTCATGTCCATTTGGCTCTCAGTGTTTTAAATAACATCTTCTACCAAATGAATTCCTATCCAGAAGCAGCCTGGTGGGATGCGTGGTCATTCCCTCCTCTGTGGCAGTCACCCCCTGAAGACAGTGCCAGCCTCCATTATCAGGGAATCTGGGCTTGGGGGCCACAGATCCAACCAGGAACTGTTCAAGGACAGCCAGCATCTACTTTCCACCTTGTCCCCTCCCGTCACGCAGGGTTTGCTGTGTGGAGCTTCTGCCGGAGGGCTTGCTGAGGCATTCCCCCAAGGTGACTGGCCATGTGCCCAGGACAACCACCTGCTTCATGTTCATTTACCTGCAGGGCTCTTGACCTCTGTTGGCATCACAGTTATGCAGCTCGGAAGGAGGAAATGGAACGTGGCCATACTGGGAAGGAAAGAGACACCTGTCAGAACCATGGCAGACTCCTAGGCCACATGCGATGCTGGCAGCCTCAGTATTAGGACCAGAAGTGGGTAGTTAGGATGGACCCTCCCAGGGTTACAGAGCCAGAGGCAGATCGCATGCTGTGTGCTGGGCCTGGCACATTGTTGAAGGCAGGGTGGGCAGGGCGGGCGGAGCCGTGGGAGCCTCTCAGGCCCGGAACAGCACCCAGCTCTGGGCAGAGTCGTCCCTGACCTCGGGGAAGACCCCTCCGTGACCAGACTTGGTGATGTACACAGATGCTCTCTTATCCTGGAGGCAGCCCAGCCCGTGGTGTGCTCATAGATTGGCTCTTTTTAAAGCCCCAATTTCCTGATTTTATAGGGTTTGTAGCTTTTTTTTGTGGTGTAAATACCCCCAAGATGGACAATTATCAGCGTTGTAACAACTGGCCTGCAAAATTTCTAAATGCCTTGTTAGCCTGCCCACTGGTGAACCTTGCTGGGGTCTAGTTCGGGTCTCGGGTAGCTGCCATTGGGGCTTAGCCCTAGGACTTCCTGTCCTGAAGTGAGGAAACTCAAGGTCCACTTGAGAGCAAGGTGAGAGGTTTCACTTCCATGTGAAGCAGGATCCACAGGGGCTGTGAGGAGAGCCAGCTCCTGAAACCTGCTCTGGCAGACGCTTCGGAGGCTTGGGCTCAGTGTTTACAGTCAGGACATGGGGTGAGTGAGGCCTGCCTGCTGACCGGGGGGTTAGAAAGTGACAAATCTTAATAGTTACGTGTTAACATATTACACATTTAGGAAGACTGGATGGAAATGGAGAAAATGTTAATAGTGGCGTCTTATGGTTCCATCTCTAGGATCTTCTGTGGTGTCTCGGTAATCAGGAAAAAAAGTTTTTTCCAGAGATGACACATACATAAAATTGCAAAGTAAGCTGTGCTTCTCCTCCCCATAGCTATTCTATTCTCTCTGGAAACTTACGTTCTCAGCCTTTATTCTAACTCTAGTTGAACAGTCTTCATACAACTTGTCGAAAGATCTGCTTAAGTTCTCAGAAAAATCCCCCAAACCAGGAGCTTTTAGACCCGGATTAATTTGAGTCCTCGGGTTGATTCCTGTGCGCGCCCAGAGAGGAGAAGCTCTGAGGGGTTCCGGGGAGCGGGGCGACGGGGCTGGGCCTCCTCCCGGCTCACTTGGGCGGCTCCTCCTCGCATTCCCCGTCCAGGTCCAGGTACTTCTTGTACGTGGCGTTGAAGATGGCCGCTTGCTGCTCCCACTGGCTGTCCTTGATGAAGTGGTTCTGCCCCGAGCCCAGCCCGTAGCAGTCCTCTATCTTTGCAAAGACTTCCAGGGGGCTCTTAAATGTGGTACCTGGGTTGAAAATATTCCAGAATCGGTCAGACCCTCTGGCTCCCCGCTTCCTGGTGTTCCCCTCCTTCCCCCAGGCTTCCCACCTTCCTGTGTTTACACTTAGCCAGCTCCCTCCCTCCTAAAAACTGCCTTCCTCTGTCAGTCACCTTCTCTATCAGTCTCCTTCCCAGTGACCTGTTCTTTCTTTCTTTTCCCTCTATTCCTAAATCCACAGTAAAACTGGGCGATCTGTTTTCTGGGTTCACACCCCAAATTTTCAGAACTCTGCTGTCTTTGGAAGGTGCCCAGGTCCCTCAAGTTGCCCAAGAGGTCCCCTTTCCCAGGCAACCACTGTTATCAGTTCTTACATGACTTTCCGGAAGCAGACTCTTTTTTAAAATAAACAAAAGGGAGCATATTCCACACTAATAGCTCTCAGACCGTGGTCCCAGGTCATCAGGGATCTGACAGGGTCAGTGGGGAACTTGTCAGAAATTCCCGGGCCCTACCCGAGACCTACTGAAACAGAAACAAACCGTGGGTGAGGCCCAGCAACTGAGTTTTAACAAGTCCTCCAGGTGAGCCTGATCCAGCTCCATATGGACCCCTTGCATATTCCCTCAACAAAGTATCTTAGAGACCTCTTCAGGTCAGTATTGTATATCTCCTTCGTTGTTACTTTCATTTTTAACCCTTTTTCTTATCGTGAAATATTTAGAAAAGAACATAAACATATACCTTAATAAATAATAAAGCAAACATCTGTTTCTGCTTGGGTCAACAAGCAGAGCATTGCCCACCCCCTAGAAGCATCCCAAGTGGCCCTCTCCAGTCACAACCCTCTGGGAAGAGTGGCAGCCATTCTCGTGGCTTTTATGTAACCACTTCATTCCATTATTTTACTTTGGCTATCTAAATATGCATCTAAACACTACAGCTTTGTTTTGTCTGATTTTGGACTGTACACAAATGGAGTTACACAATGTTAACTCTGTTTGCTGCTTGTGGGATCGATCCACTTTGTTGTATATAGCTGTAGCTTTCCTTTTCATGGCTATGTAGTATTCCATCAGGCAGCTATACTACAATTTAATTATCTGTGCTATTGTTGATGGACATTTTGGTTGTTTCATGTTTGGGGCTGTCGGGCATCATGACACTGTTACCATTCTCATATGTCTCTCCCGGTACACATTTATCTGCAAACCTGTCGCGCATATGCGTAGATGTAGGGTGACCAACTCATCCTGGCTTGCTCAGAGGTTTTCTAGTTTTAGCACTGAAAGCCCCAGAACCCAGGTAATCCCTCAGTCTCAGGCAGATTGGTGTGGTAGATCACCCTATAAGGGAGTGTAAATGCTGGGTCACAGGATGTAAATTATCTTCAACATCACTAGATAATACCAAATATACGGGAAGTCTGATTATTCTCCATCCTCACTGACACGTATGTATGGTGGGTGTCTTTTAATTTTAGCTTTCCTGGTGGGTGTGGAATGGTATCTCATTATTGCATTTCCTGGATAACTAATGATGTTAAGCACCTTTCTTATGTTTATTGGCCATTTGAATAATCTCTTGCCTGTTTTATACGGGATCATCTGTCTTTTTCTTAATCATTTTTAGGAATTATTTATATAGTCTGGGTATGGACCATTCATAAGTTTTATGTGTTCTGCAGCTATGTTCTCACAGTATGTGGCTTGCTCTTTCATGCTCTTAATGATGTCTGTGGATGATTAAAAGCCCTTAATTTTAACGTAGTCAAATTTACCAGATTTTTCTTTTATCGTAAGTACTTTTTGTGTTTTGTTTAAAAAGCCTTTC